AACCAATAAAGTGTTTTTAAAAAAAACAGTAAAGTTAATTCAATACTTATATCTTGGAAATAAAAATATAAAATATAAAAATATAAAAAATTCATGTTTTAAGAGATTTTTAAATTCAGGACTATTCATTTACTTTGACCAAGTAATCTTCTAAAAATGCCTTTAATTCATCAATATCATCTTCAAACACCGCGCTGGCAATGTATAAATCAGGTCGAACAAGTACAAAAGCCTGTTTGCCAACATCTTTTGTGATGCCATATTTTTCGTGCAATTCGAATTTTGTTTCAATAAATATATGCCGCTCTTTCCCCTCTTCTGAGAATGGCATGAATGGTACATCGGCAGCCCGGACAACTCCTTGATATGAAATGATAATTGGGGTGATAGTGCTTTTATAGTCAGAGTAGATATCTAATAGGGTATCTATGAGTGGATTACAATCAGCTGTAACACCATTGGTTAGAGTAAACAGTATCAGGACGTGTTTCAATGTAGTTGAACGAAAGACATCAAATAAAGTTATGCGATCATGACTGTTGTGAGGGATTACTTTCGTTAATGGTCCATCAAGCGCATAATGACCCGATTGAATAAGTTTGTTTTCGGGAACTGGTTTATACTTGTGAAGAATTCCGGAAGTCTCAGAAGAGTAATTAAATACAGTTTGAAACAAATTGCTCTGGTAACTAAGTATAATTTGTGGAAAGAAACGGAATACAAAAGGAGCTACGCGCGTTCGGAAGAAAGTGCTAATAAAGTCATTACTACCCAACATTTTTGTAACAAAACTAGTGCCAGCAACAACATTTTTGCCAATAGGATGTCGTTCTTGATCATAACTATCAAGAAGTTTATTAGGATCAATGGCCTGATCCTTGATAATTAGTGCTAATTTGAAAGCTAAGTTATGTGCATCTTGAATTCCTAAATTCATGCCTTGACCACCAACCGGCGAATGACAGTGAGCAGCATCTGTTTATAATATAAAAAAGGAATAAATATTATTGTAATATGATCATGTAAAATATAAAAACCTATTTACCTCCAGCGAGGAAGGCACGACCGGTTCTATATCTATTTACAATTCTTTCATTAATCCTAAAATTGGACATCCAACCCGGATTTTTTAGCTCCAATTTAATAGGAGCAATCCTCTCATTAACCAATTTCTGTAGTTCACCCAAGGTAATATGTTCTTCTTTTGTGAGGCCATGCGTAATACCATCACCAGCTTCATGTTTATCCTCCTCATCGCCAACTTTAATGACGAGACGAACGCAATTTTTTCTTGAATCCAATGGAAATATTAATATAGGCCCTAATAATGATTTATAAATTTAGAAGAAAATGACATTAAGATTTGCAAACATAGAATACAGTACCTTCATCAAGAGGGAAAGCGGTTAATTGATTGTCCCTAACTAACTCATGATCAATATCTACGTCCGCTAAGGCCCAAGAAGATTTCAATGTCTGACCTAGAGAAAAAAAATAATTAGATTGTAAAGAACCGTGGATAGAGAATGAATTTTTATTAATTTAGACAAACTCGAATTAATCTTACCTTCAAAAACCCAGTCATTTCTCCCTTTTCTAACAGTTGAATGAACACCATCACACCCTACTAAATACCGACAAATTATTTCTTCTTCTTTACTATTATTTATATTCTTTACAATGGCAACGATACAATCATCCTTCTCGTCGTATTTTAATAGTTCCATGCCAAATTCAATATTAGGAACATTTTTCATTCCCATTGATTTCTTTTTGTGCAAGGCATCGATTAAGTACTCTTCAGTTTTATTCTGACGATTCAATAATCCAAATGGAAATAAACTGTCCATGTTGCTAAGGTCAAGCTTGGTCGAGTCGTGAGTATTTTTGCAATTTTGGTATATAGAGAATTGGTTACATTTACAACCATGTTCTAAAAAAGGATCAATAATACCTCTAAAAAAAAACAATAAATCCATTAATATGATTAGTTTGAGAATAAGGAATGATTATTAGATTACCTATTATCAAAAATTTCCAAGGTCCTGGGAGCTATTAGAAGAGCTTTTGAAAACTGATGATGCTCATGGAGCTTATCAATGATACGGAAATTGATTTCGAATGTAGCTAATTCATTGGCTAAAAATAAGCCAACGGGACCTTTTGCAAAAAAATTCGTTTAGATTAGAAATTTTGTGGTCCAAACATCAGGTATACTTTAGTAATACTTTACCTGCACCACAAATTAGTACGTCGACATGATTTTGTTGTTTGAAGAATGACATTATAGTAAAATTGTTAAAAGGAATTTTAGTAAATTGCGTTTCAACACTCTCTTGATCGAAGACTATTTATTTAATTATTCTGGTTTAGTGATGTATGCACCATCCAAATTTCGATTACGCCAATAACAGGATCGGATAAATATATGTACGTAAACAGAAAATTTTGTGAACATTTAATTACGGTATCGGCATTTATGATTACCGCGGTAAAACTTAACGTTAATATTTGGCAGCAAATAAGAGTTTTTGGTAGTAATTACAAATAAAGAAGGAACTTGTCAATGAGGTGACAAAGAGTTCATTAGACTTTTTTTGAAACCTTATTTAATACGGATACGCCTTATTTTACCGACACTCATTTCGTAAACACAACACTTCACTTACAATTAATTCACCGACATGTTTGTTTCACAGACAACCAATTCCTAGACAAGCTCATTTCGTAGACAACTCATTTCATATACAGCTCATTTCACCGACAAGTTAATTCCTCTAACCCTAAGCTAACCCTAACCCTAATTCTAATGGTAATAATATCGGTAAAATGAGCTGTCGGTGAAATAAGTGATCTATGAAATGAGCTTGTCTAGGTTGTCTGTGAAACAAACATGTCGGTAAATTGAACCGGTTTAATACAGGCGTTCACATATGATTATTTGAAATTAAGTTTCTTGACAAACTGGTAACAGGCTGCGTGGGTTCGGTATTAAGTATATTTAAGGGTTTTGGGTGATTATTTTCTATTTCGCCATCGCTCGCCTTGGAATAAAGCAGGCTCTATCTCTTTCCTATACCCCCCATTTCATGAGTGGCTTAACGGTTGCAATGACTACTCAATGAAAAATTTTCCCAGTTTTTTGAATATGGTCTAATTGATTAATGCGATCGATCAATACTTAAAATAATATCCCTTATTATTCAGAAATAGTTCTAAGAATCCTAATTAATTAATGCGATCCATACTTAAAATCATATCCCTTATTATTCAAAAATGGTTCTAAGAATCCTAATTTATTAATGCGATCCATACTTAAAATTATATCCCTTATTATTCAGAAATGGTTCTAAGATTCCATTTTTAAACTGGATAACTGCGTGATGTCATCGTGCAGAATAAAAAGGAAAATTAAATGCCGTGAATGAAGTCACGAGGCAATTATTTGTCACGAGAAGTCAAAATATAGGATTACGTTTGGGTAAATATGCGGTCATGGGTGAAAGGTATACTGTATAAGGAAAAAGAAATGTTTTTTGTAATCAATCTTTTGTTTTCTGCAAGCTCAGCTTTTCGTTAATCCCTCCCATCCGCCGTTAATGGCAAGGATATGTGAAAAAAAGAAAATGGCAGAATAATATCTTCGAAAAGAGTAGGTAGCACGACTAAACAGGTTGAATATCAAGGAAGAAGGGATTATAGAAAAGGTAGGAAAACTTGATAATCTGACTGAATAAGTCGAATATCAAAATGAAAATGATGATAAGAAAGATTGTAAAACTTAAAACAATGAAGTAAAAGAGTGACCAGAGAAACGGAACAAATTTGGATATCAAAATGAAAGGGATGATGGGAAAAAGGGTAGGAAAACTTGATAGTCCAACTGAACAAGTTGGACATCAAAGAAATGATTGGAATAAAAATAGGAAACTTGATAATTCCAATGGAACAATTTGAGTATCAAAGTGAAAGAAAAATAGGTAGAAAAACTAGATAGCCCAACTAAAGTCAGATATCAAGTAAAGAGATAATCGGAAAAAGAATAGGAAACTTGATAACCCAATGGAACAAGTTGGATATCGAAGTGAAAGGGGTGATTGGTAAAAGTTGGATATCAAAGTAAAGAAAAGGGTAGGAAGTTTGATAGTCCTATTGACCAAGAACGGTAGTGAGTCTAGAGTATACTTGTTACCCGAAACGAAACCTTCCCGAAACTAGTTTCGGGAAGTACTAATCCGAAACTCAAAATATAGTTTCGGTCACGGAAAGCCGAAACCCGAAATTAGAGGTCGGAACCGGTTGGATTTGCATATAATATAAAACCGGTAATTTAAACCAAATTATAATTGGGTTGCGTGACGTAATAATGTAATATATAATTGGTTGATCTTGTACGTGAAATTTGATAGAACAGTTAGCTAATTGTTAATTCAATCATAAATAAATAAAAAAAGTTAATTCGTGATCCGCATAAGAACCAGTGAAACAACATAGTAAATAGTGGAGAAAGTTACTATATATGCTTGGAACCTGACGTTTTACTAAGCAAACCGCTCTTTGACTTCTAAATAAAGTTGTATGGGAGAGTTTTGCAATTATAATTATGGTTGAAATGTTTAAATCGGC